TCCAGAGATCCAGCTCGGGTCAAGCTAGCAGCTACTGTGTCACCATCCACCTGTCGGTCAAAGAGGCCGCGCCCCCTAATCCATTATAAAATCATTGTGGCGGGGGCGTGGTCTGCTGGCCTGCTGCAGAGGAGGGGTGACACAGTGACTTGTACAGGACTGTTTTATTGAGGGAGATGTGTCTTATCTGTGTCCGCAGTGAGAAGGAGCAGGTGATGCTGGGAGAGAGTCGGAGTGGCTGCGTCCGAGGCGGGCGCCAAAAACCGCAGATTATTTCTCAATAAAAGACAGTCTAAGCATTAACCAGTCGTGTGCGCGTGTCCTGTGTTACAGTCATGCTCCCCCAGTTGCTGACATTCTGCACACACCATTACACACTCACTACAAATACAGGACTCGACACAGTCACTTTAACCACTTTAAATCCTCATTGCACAGCTTTTACACAACTGTAAATACGAAACAGCGTTCTTACATTCTCTAATATTGAATACTTTAGTATTTTGTTATTTTTATTATTATTTTTATTTTCTTCTTTAATATAACTGCACACTTCTATATGTTCATGTAAAGCTGAGGAGCACGAGCCAACAAATTTCATTACGGGTAAATGTTGCTATGCTGTTTATCTGCATATGACAATAAAATCTGAAACTTGAAACTTGCTATGAAGGATGAAACTACCTACAGAGATCGATCAGTTTGAGTATCAGGCTGTAAACATGTTTGTTTTAACATGGGAGTCTATGGGCACTGACTCACTGCTGCCTCCGCTGGACGTCAGAGGAACTGCAGGTCTGGAGTGGCTGGTTAGTGCTGCCCCCTACAGGCTGCACAGACGCTAATGAGATTAGCGTGCAGTTTAACCCTGAAAATATGCCCAGCTCTGATTGGTGCACACCATTACAGGTCACACTTTTCTAACAGAGCCCGGAGAAAAAAAACACGCTGCCACAGGTATTCATCATCATCATCATCATCACATGTTCAGACAGACGCTCTGCTTCCTGTCATGCAAAAGCAAGAAAAACCTCAGCTCACACTTTAATTATTCGCTCGACCGCCGTGACGCCTAGGGAGGAACTCAGACAGCGCCGCAGGAAGTGAGTGCAGCGAAAGAAGCCTGTGACCACAAACATCCAGAGACAGAGCTCCGCCTCTAATCGCAGCTCAGCGTTACACAACAGTGCTCTGGGGTTTCACCGAGGCACGAACATGACTCATCCACCACCACACAGGCACTGGGTTTGTGTCCCTGTGAGGACCGCCGGGCTGCAGGCACGCTCACACCTGGATCAGGTCCACATCTGGATCAGGGTCCACATGGAACCAGACTCAATTTCAGGCTGTGAGTCATGTGACAGCAGGATGTCCTCAAAGAGTTGCAAACACAGGCGTGTGTGAGGGTGTGTCCTCATTGGCTGACAGCTCATGCCCCTCGCTCTCTCTCTAACAATGGCTGGTAGCCTTTTCCTGTCTGCTGCTTCCTGTTCAGCCAATCAGGGACCAGCGTGGCAGAGCCGCTCAGCTGCTTCTCATTAAAATAAAAGTTCTTCAGCAATTTGATGGAGAGGGGCATGTGACCCCCCCCCCCCCCAACTGTGAGCCTGAGACTTTAAAGCCTGTGATCATGTGACCACAGAGATACTATCTTTGTGTGTGTGTGTGTGTGTGTGTGTGTGTGTGTGTGTGTGTGTGTGTGTGTGTGTGTGTGTGTGTGGCATGAAGGAGATTAGACTGAACCAGCTGAGAGCATTGTCATGGCAACTTTGTTTTCTTTCTGCCTTTTAAGGTGGAAATAATTCTGCAGCCTCTGTCTGTGCGACAACGACGGCCTGAGGCAGAATGACATGTTATTAAATGTGTTATTAACATGTTTATTAACATGTTTAATAAAATAAACATGTCATTAAACAGGTTTATTAACATGTTAATAAACCTGTTAATGTTTATGTTAATAAACATGTTTAATAACATGTTTATTAACATTATTGGGGGTGGCTGTAGCTCAGGTGGCAGAGCAGGTCAGCCACTAATCAGAAGGTCGGTGGTTCAATCCCAGGCTGCCTCCTGGCTGCATGCCAACATGATATTAAACGGGTTTATTAACATGTTATTAAACGGGTTTATTAACATGTTATTAAACGGGTTTATTAACATGTTATAAATTAAACGGGTTTATTAACATGTTATTAAACGGGTTTATTAACATGTTATTAAACGGGTTTATTAACATGTTATTAAACGGGTTTATTAACATTTATTAAACGGGTTTATTAACATGTTATAAAACGGGTTTATTAACATGTTATTAAACGGGTTTATTAACATGTTATTAAACGGGTTTATTAACATGTTATTAAACGGGTTTATTAACATGTTATTAAACGGGTTTATTAACATGTTATTAAACGGGTTTATTAACATGTTATTAAACGGGTTTATTAACATGTTATTAAACAGGTTTATTAACATGTTAATAAGCTTGTTATTAAACATGTAAGAACCCATATTGAGTAATAAATAGCGAGAGCTGTACAACACACTTTATTCTTTCGTTATGACACCCTGTGACATCACGAGGACGTCAGAACATCCTGACGTCATCACATCATAATAAAATGTCATAAACCATGAAAGAGCGTGACAGCGCGGCAGTCGGGGAGATGCGCTCTGGTTTGTTTGTGGAATAAATAAAGTTTGAAATGAAAAGCGCAGCGCTTTACTGAGTAAAGGGCTGTTGCTGAGGTCTCCATGACGACGAAATGGGGTCAGAATCGATCAGCCGACCATTTCACAGATCCTTTTATGGCTGAAAGCTCTGTGGCCTCTGACCTCTGTGCAGTCTGATTCAAAATGAGAATTCAGCTGACTGAAGCTGTGAGTGATGTCACACCAGCACTGCTCTCGGATTGGTTTTCGTTAAATCGGCTCAATGAGTTTGAACGCTCAGGAGGCGTGGCAGCCAGCACAGACCGGGTGAGATGTGCTCAGAGACAGTAGGAAACTCACCCAGTGCGCCCTGGCAGATATCAGTCCTGGTGGCCCCGCCCACGATGAACTCCGGTTTAGAGACGAGCTCCTGGAAGACAAACCAGAGACAGTGTTAATGATGCTGGTCAGGGCCACGCCCACTCAGAGTGGGGAACACAGAGCTGCTGGGGTGTGTGTCCAGATTCAGATTGCTCCTCAGACTGAATCTGCTCCCAACACACACACACGCACACCATCACTTGAAGCTCTCAGGTTAACCTCAGCTCCTCCACCTGAAACAGCTGGTCGGACTCACTGTCTGCGTGCACGCCCACCGCTCCCTCACTGCTATTCCTCCCGCAGCAGCAAGCACTGACTCATCAGGGAGTGACTCAGTGCGCATGCTTAAGATTGAAGGGACGCATTTTATGAAACGGAGCAGAGATTCACCAAAACTCCTCTCTGCTCCTTCATGTCCCTGCCGGAGGCCTGCTCCTCTCACAGGTCTGTGAGATTATCATCTGTGAAAATCTCTCTGGGTACCAAACAGTGTGTTTTTCCATCAGGCACAACCACCCCTCCCCCCCCACCCCGGTCCCGGTTCTCACCGTGGGCCTCTTCCAGCTGACTCCGCGGACCTTGTAGGAGCTCGGGCCCAGCTCGTTGAAGCCCAGAGACTCGGGCGCGGCGGGGAACGTCGGGTCGCAGAAGAGCTTGCCCGCGGAACGGCACTGGGCGCGCAGCGCGTTGAAGTTCTGGTTCAGGTACGGGACCGCGTTCGCGTTGGTGCCAAAGCCCGCGGACAGAGCGCGCTTCTTGGCCAGAGTGGACGCAACGCCGGACATGATGAAGAGGAGGAGAGGAGGAAGATCACACGGCTGTAAACTCCAACAACTTCAGCTGCTCAAAGTTTTCCCCACGCAGACCGCGCCCCGAACCAGAGGAGGAGCCACAGCCTCTGCCAGCCTCCACCCACCTCCAACCGCTCAGACGTACACCTCCCTCTGAGCAGGGAAACACAGCACGCGACGTGTTTACTGTATTTAAGACATCATATCACGCACACACACAGACCCACGCACACTTACCACCATCATTATCAGTGCTCTGCTGCCCCGCCCATTCTGATCACCTTCAGTTTTACAGAGCACCCAATCACAACAACAGTCGCCTCAAGGCGCTTTATATTGTACAGTAGAGCCCACAATAATAGATACAGAGAAAACCCAACAATCATATGAGCCCCTATGAGCACTTTGGACAGTGGGAAGGAAAAACTCCCTTTGAACAGGAAGAAACCTCCAGCAGAACCAGGCTCAGGGAGGGCATGACCGGGAGCAGCCCTGGAACAGTGCGACTTCCTCTCACCTGTCTTTCAAAGAAACATGAAGAGCGCCCCCTGCAGGCAAACAACTCATTTTAATTGATCCTAATAATCAGTAAATAACATGTTATTTGATTATTGTTATTGATTTCTGCACCATCCACAGCAAATATGATGCAAATCATGTTCAGCAAAGCATCTCCATCCTCCGCTGATCCAGCCCCTCAGGTTATACAGGTGTTGATCAGAGTGGAAGTGCCGTGATTGGTCAGAATCAGCCCGAGATACATTCATAAAACACAAACCCCTGTCACAGGTGCTGTTGGTCTCCTGTTTCTATGGCAATTTCTCCCAATCAGCTGTTCGTCAAACGTTTTGATGCTCTGGTGTAATAATGTGTGTGATTGAATGCATTATCATCATGCGACGATAGCCACCTGTGCTTTCAAGTTCAAGTTTTATTTGCTGTGTCCAAGTAACATAGATACATCTGTCAAATCAGCATACACCGTGAGATCGCCATACCTGTATCATCAAACGACACAATGAAATTCTTCAGCTCAGAGCGCCTCAGCATTGCACATGAAGTAACACTTTGAGACAAGACGTATATCAATAAACATGTACAGCGTGCCCAGTGATTGTGCAACATACTGTCTGATGTCTTAGCAGTTCAGCAGGTTGATGGCTTGAGGGTGTCGCCATGGAGATGGCGTCAGGCAAAACTACAAAAACGTGTCCGAATTTCAAAGAGAAGAAGAAACGACAGGAGAAGAAAAGCAAAGAGAGAACGAGAAGAGAGCCCTGTCGGTCACATCTGTGCGAATTCATGTGGAGGAAACAGGAAGCGCGTCTGTGTGTTACTGCGTTGTCATGGCGTCAGGTCTCTTTCCTGTTTTATATTTGAGAAAAGCTTTAATATGTAGAAGGTTTTTATGTTCCCAAGCCTCTGAAGCTGAGCTCATGTGTTTGTTTAAGCAGTGCTAAGATACTAACCCTGTTATTAATAACAATAATAAACCCACCACCAGTAAACACACTTCATCCAGATTCAGTCCGCTTTCATTTACACAGCTCTCACTGCTTCACGCTGGAGCAATTTGGCAACAGTGGAAAGGAAGAACGACCTTTTAACAGGAAGAGCCCTCTAACAGATCCAGGATCAGCATGAAGAGCGTGAGCAGGCTTGCGCAGCGGCCCGCCTCTCTCTGTTGCGTGCCAAGCGTTTGCTGTTTTTTGGGCGTCTTATCAAAGAGCCGTTTAGACTGAGCGGCTCAGACATCAGAGAGAAAACAAACGAGCTGCTGTTTGAAGAAAGAGGCTCCGGCCGTTAAACATTAATGAGATAACAAGCAGCCGAGCTGCTCCATCTGCTGCACAGGTGAGAACAGGGCTTCAGTTCAGCTGCTGTCTTTCAACAGCGTGCAGAGTAAGGATCGCGTGACGATGTGAGCTGACGCTTCTCAGTGACATCAGTTCTGAGCAGGAATTTAAAATAACGCGTAAAATAAAAACAGGTGACAGGAGCCGTTTCTGCTCGGTCTGAGTCACTCCTCGGGCTTCTGCACGAGAAAAATTTCACATCAGTCGATGTTTGATGACCCTCGTCATCAGCTCCATGCTTCCCTCCATCAGAACCGGGCTTCGTCACAGCAGACTGAACGTCATCGTCACCTCTTAGCCGATCGATAGAAACACTGCTGCGGTTCGTAATGATTGTTATCATCGCTAATCATGTCTCGTCCAATCAGGAGCTGTGTTCTGATCCTCGCTTCATCGCTGACGGAGCCTGAAGAACAGACGTCTGTCAGGGAGATATTAATGTACAGAATTCACCTGCCTGCTGCTACTACTGCACATTCACCCAGTGTATATACTATATGTGTGTGTATATATATATATATATATATATATATATATATATATATATATATATATATAAAAACACCCAGCACGCCCCCTGTGGGCGGTTTATCCTTCAAGCTCGGGTCCTCTACCAGAGGCCTGGGAGCTTGAGGGTCCTGCGCAGTATCTTAGCTGTTCCCAGGACTGCGCTCTTCTGGACAGAGATCTCCGATGTTGTTCCCGGGATCTGCTGGAGCCACTCGCCTAGCTTGGGAGTCACCGCACCTAGTGCTCCGATTACCACGGGGACCACCGTTACCTTCACCCTCCACATCCTCTCCAGCTCTTCTCTGAGCCCTTGGTATTTCTCCAGCTTCTCGTGTTCCTTCTTCCTGATATTGCTGTCATTCGGAACCGCTACATCGATCACTACGGCCGTCTTCTTCTGTTTGTCTACCACCACTATGTCCGGTTGGTTAGCCACCACCATTTTGTCCGTCTGTATCTGGAAGTCCCACAGGATCTTAGCTCAGTCATTCTCCACCACCCTTGGGGGCATCTCCCATTTTGACCTCGGGACTTCCAGGTTATACTCGGCACAGATGTTCCTGTACACTATGCCGGCCACTTGGTTATGGCGTTCCATGTATGCCTTGCCTGCTAGCATCTTGCACCCTGCTGTTATGTGCTGGATTGTCTCTGGGGCATCTTTACACAGCCTGCACCTGGGGTCTTACCTGGTGTGATAGACCCCAGCCTCTATGGATCTTGTGCTCAGAGCTTGTTCTTGTGCTGCCATGATTAGTGCCTCTGTGCTGTCTTTCAGTCCAGCTTTGTCCAGCCACTGGTAGGATTTCTGGATATCAGCCACCTCCTCTATCTGCCGGTGGTACATACCGTGCAGGGGCCTGTCCTTCCATGATGGTTCCTCGTCTCCCTCCTCTTTCTTGGGTTTCTGCTGCCTGAGGTATTCACTGAGCACTCGGTCAGTTGTGGCCATCTTCCCAATGTATTCTTGGATGTTCGTTGTCTCATCCTGGACTGTGGTGCTGACACTCACCAGTCCCCGGCCCCCTTCCTTCCGCTTAGCGTACAGCCTCAGGGTGCTGGACTTGGGGTGAAACCCTCCATGCATGGTAAGGAGCTTTCTTGTCTTTATGTCAGTGGCTTCTATCTCCTCCTTTGGCCAGCCTATTACCCCAGCAGGGTACCTGATCACGGGCAGGGCGTACGTGTTGATGGCCCGGATCTTGTTCTTACCATTCAGCTGACTCCTCAGGACTTGATATATATGATATATATATATATATATATCATATATATGAGATATATATATATCATATATATATCATATATATATATGATATATATTATATAATATATATATATTATATAATATATATATATATATATATATATATATATATATATATATATATATATATATATATATATATATAATATATATATATATATATATATATATATATATATTATATATATATATATATATATATATATATATATATATATATATATATATATATATATATATATATATATATATATATATATATATATATATATATATATATATATATATATATATATGATATATATATATGATATATATATATGATATATATATATGATATATATATATATATGATATATATATATATATGATATATATATATATATGATATATATATATATGATATATATATATATATATATATATATATATATATATAATGTTCTTCCTCTACACCCCCCCAATTTTTGCACATGTCGAGGAGCGTGTCAGGCTACATTTCACTGTGTGTTATACCTGTATAACTATGCATGTGACAAATAATAAAGAACCTTGAACCTTGAACCTTGAGAGCTGGGTGAGTTTGATGACAGCAGGCGTGCTCGTCGCTGACAGGAAAAGGAAACATCACACAACACTTAAACTCTGCTTTAAGAAGTTTGTAAAATAAAATGCGACAGAGAAAATCACCCCAGAGAATAAATTTTCTGAAGTGGTTTGACGAGTAAAGGACAAAAACTTTCAGCTCCTTTATCCACAGAAATGACCCCTCAGAGGCTCAGCGAGTGATCATGTGACCTGTGTCTGTCAGGTGACTGCTGGCTCCTGGCGGCCATTGCCTCACTCTGGACCCTCAGATCCTGAACAGAGTGGTCCCTCCTGGGCAGAGCTTCACCTCACAGTATGCCGGCATCTTCCACTTCCAGGTCGCTCACCTTTTTAAAGAAACAGAAATAACACACAGTACAGGGTGGGGGTGTAATGACAGAGGAAGTGACATCTTGTTCACATCTGTCCTCTGTAGTTATGGCAGTACGGGGAGTGGGCGGACGTAGTCGTGGACGACCGGCTGCCCATCAGAGATGGGAAACTGCTGTTCGTCCACTCAGCGGAGGGAGTGGAGTTCTGGAGTGCTGTGCTGGAGAAAGCCTACGCTAAGTAAGAGCAACCTGTGAGGTCTAACAAAGCTGACCTGTAATTAAACTCACTTTTATTTATGTGGCACCGAATCACAACAACAAGTGGCTTCATGGACAGATAGAGCTGGGTGTCATCTGCATAGCAGTGTAAATGTATGCTATGTCTTCTAATGATGCTGCCTAAGGGAAGCATGTATAATGTAAACAGAATTGGTCCTAGCACTGAACCCTGTGGAACTCCATAATTAACCTCAGTGTGTGAAGAGGACTCTCCATTTACATGCACAAATTGGAGTCTGTTAGATAGATATGATACAAACCACTGCAGCACAGTACCTGTAATACCTACAGCATGTTCTAATCGCTCTAATAGGATATTATGGTCGACAGTATCGAACGCTGCACTGAGGTCTAGCAGGACAAGCACAGAGATGAGTCCACTGTCAGAGGCCATAAGAAGATCATTTGTAACCTTCACTAAAGCTGTTTCTGTGCTGTGATGAGCTCTGAAACCTGACTGAAACTCTTCAAATAAACCTCTGCAGATGATCTGTTAGCTGTTTGACAACTACTCTTTCAAGGATGTTTGATATGAAAGGAAGGTTGGAGATTGGCCTATAATTAGCTAAGACTGCTGGGTCTAGAGATGCTTTTTGAGTAAAGGTTTAACTACAGCCAGCTTGAAGGCCTGTGGTACATAGCTGATCATTAGAGATAGTTGATCATATTTAAGATTGAAGCATTAGTCTGAAAGAAGCTGTTTTAGCTCCTCCTATTTTGAGGCCACCCTTTCTTCTGACCCTCAGCTGACCCTTCTCACCAATTAAGCATATTAGGTGATGTGCATCTCTGTAATGAGAAGGGGTGTGGTCTAATGACATCAACACCCTATACCAGGTGTGCATAATTATTAGGCAACGTCCTTTCCTTTGGCAAAATGGGTCAAAAGAAGGACTTGACAGGCTCAGAAAAGTCAAAAATAGTGAGATATCTTGCAGAGGGGTGCAGCAGTCTCAAAATTGCAAAGCTTCTGAAGCGTGATCATCGAACAATCAAGCGTTTCATTCAAAATAGTCAACAGGGTCGCAAGAAGCGTGTGGAAAAACCAAGGCGCAAAATAACTGCCCATGAACTAAGAAAAGTCAAGCGTGCAGCTGCCAAGATGCCACTTGCCACCAGTTTGGCCATATTTCAGAGCTGCAACATCACTGGAGTGCCCAAAAGCACAAGGTGTGCAATACTCAGAGACATGGCCAAGGTAAGAAAGGCTGAAAGACGACCACCACTGAACAAGACACACAAGCTGAAACGTCAAGACTGGGCCAAGAAATATCTCAAGACTGGTTTTTCTAAGGTTTTATGGACTGATGAAATGAGAGTGAGTCTTGATGGGCCAGATGGATGGGCCCGTGGCTGGATTGGTAAAGGGCAGAGAGCTCCAGTCCGACTCAGACGCCAGCAAGGTGGAGGTGGAGTACTGGTTTGGGCTGGTATCATCAAAGATGAGCTTGTGGGCCTTTTCGGGTTGAGGATGGAGTCAAGCTCAACTCCCAGTCCTACTGCCAGTTTCTGGAAGACACCTTCTTCAAGCAGTGGTACAGGAAGAAGTCTGCATCCTTCAAGAAAAACATGATTTCCATGCAGGACAATGCTCCATCACACGCGTCCAAGTACTCCACAGCGTGGCTGGCAAGAAAGGGTATAAAAGAAGAAAAACTAATGACATGGCCTCCTTGTTCACCTGATCTGAACCCCATTGAGAACCTGTGGTCCATCATCAAATGTGAGATTTACAAGGAGGGAAAACAGTACACCTCTCTGAACAGTGTCTGGGAGGCTGTGGTTGCTGCTGCACGCAATGTTGATGGTGAACAGATCAAAACACTGACAGAATCCATGGATGGCAGGCTTTTGAGTGTCCTTGCAAAGAAAGGTGGCTATATTGGTCGCTGATTTGTTTTTGTTTTGTTTTTGAATGTCAGAAATGTATATTTGTGAATGTGGAGATGTTATATTGGTTTCACTGGTAAAAATAAATAATTGAAATGGGTATATATTTGTTTTTTGTTAAGTTGCCTAATAATTCTGCACAGTAATAGTCACCTGCACACACAGATATCCCCCTAAAATAGCTCAAACTAAAAACAAACTAAAAACTACTTCCACAAACATTCAGCTTTGATATTAATGAGTTTTTTGGGTTCATTGAGAACATGGTTGTTGTTCAATAATAACATTATTCCTCAAAAATACAACTTGCCTAATAATTCTGCACTCCCTGTATATAAAAACAGCAATAAGGAACCTGTAGCTGTGAGGTTTACTTATGTGTTTAATACCAGTGTCTGAATATGACAGGAAGTGAGGTCAGGCCCTCGGGTACTTGTCACATCATCAACTCTTCATCAGCTGTCCAGACCTCCATATGTGATTAATGCCGTATTTAAGCAGCTGTTTATTGTGACTGCATCTCTCTGACAGCAGGAGGTGGTGGTGGGTGGAGGCATTTACTCAGTAAACATGGAGCGCCGCCCGGCCCGGAAAGCAAACAGAGCTGCACAATCAGCGTTTCAGGTCAAAGTGATTTCCAAAGCTCACCGACCTCCAACACACTCGAAGCGCTTCATAACTGGGCTTTTATTTTAGAGGGCTCTGCTGTAGTTTCTCTGGTCATTTTTATAAATGATATTTGGTCCTGAGCTTCTCTGCTCCTTCATCCTGCTCTCAGCTCCTCGTCCTCCTCTGTGGAGAACAGAAGCTCTCAGCTCTAAACTCATAAGTTCTAATATTCAGAGAGACGGTGGATATACACTACCTGTCAAAGGTCTGGACACACCTCACTTATTTTTACGACATTCGACAGCGTTGATACTGAAGACATCAAATATATGAAGCAACATGTATGCAATCATGTAGCAAAGAAAAAACAGATAAATGTGTTCATATTTTAGATTCCACCCTTTGATTTGTCGACAGCGCTGCAAACCCTCGGCCTTCTCCCAGTGAGCTTCATGATGTCGTCACCTGACATGGCTTCACCTCACAGGTGTGCCCGTCAGGGTTCATTGGTGGAGTTGGTACAGCTGACAGCCTGTTTGACAACTGTTAGAATTCATCTTATGGGAGGAACCAATCAGCTAATTAAAGAGAAACAAGAGTCCATCATTACTGTGTGTATAAATCCTGCACTTAACCCTATGTTACTCTGTTGGTGTCGGGGACCCGATCCTTTGGGTGGACCAGTTTTTGGCGCAGCGTGTTTTGGGGTTTAAAAGCCACAGAGACCCGGTATTTAGAAAAAATACATCTCTGCTGCTCCGATACTCCTGACACGTACGGGATCACTGCAGGTTTCTCTTAGGCAGCGGTTGTCCTTCTCTCCTGGATCGGCTGGAGCTTTCCCAGCTTTGACAAATGTCTTGACCATCAGTGACTGTTGATCAACGACAATCTGCAATTTTAATGATCAAGAAACTGACCTCACAGCCCATTGTTCACACAGTGGGCTGGTTTCAGTCTTTATTTCCTGTTTATAAGGTTGTAAACCTGCAGTCAGCTGAGACTGAAGGAGTCACCTGACGATGCTGAAACATCCAGATGAACAGAATCAACCTTTTGGGATTTCTGCACCTGGATAACCGCGCATCAACAACCAAGCAAAGGGTGGTGACTCTACAGAATCAAAGTTATTTCACACTTTTTGTTTCCCACGTGTTCATTCATAGTTCTGATGCCTTCAGTGAGAATCATGAAAATAAAGAAAAAAACCATTAAATGAGAGGCTGTGTCCACACTTTAGACTGTAAAAGGTCTGCAGCGCACATAGATTCGATAAATAGACAAATAGATGAGAAGTGAAACAGAAACTCTGAATGCCCCTCAAAGTAAAGCTTTGAGCGTTTTTGTGTCAGAGCCTGTCAGACCTCTCCCTCAGCAGCACTCAGTCACAGTGTGACGGCGCCCTCTGCTGGTTCCTCGCAGCATCTCAGCTGGACTCAGGCTCGAGTGCCAGACGTGCACCACCTTCTGTTGTCGTTGTGCTGGAAGGTGAAACTCATCTTCATCTTTCTGGGACCCCTGCAAACAGAAACCACCACACCACGCAGACTTTACAATATAGGCACCTTCAAGTGTCTGCTGTCTGTTTTGTGACAAATAGATCGAATTGAAATAAGCCTAATCTTGAAAGTAGAGATAGTGTCTGTCTCCTGAATCCAAACTGGAAGCTGGTTCCACAGAAGAGGGGCCTGAAAACTGAAGGCTCTGCCTCCCATTCTACTTTTAAATACTCTAGGAACAACAAGTAGGCCTGCAGAGCGAGAGCGAAGTGCTCTAATAGGGTGATATGGTACTACAAGGTCATTAAGATAAGATGAAGATGCTGAGGCACTGAAATCAATATATAAATCATGATGTCACTGGCTTCCTGTTAATGTTACAGTGCCCGATGTCATTAAGCACCAATGACATCATGGAGAGGACCAGTCAGAGAGTAAATGAGTACATTTACTGTATTACTAATGTACTTGTAGTGAAGTTCTTCTGTTTTATTCTACTTTCATATGTTGGATTCAAATATTTCACTTTTTTTTCTGTCACTTTAATTATTGAAACATGCAGTCAGTTCTTTACTCACCAGGGGCCCACATGTTCAGTCTAGTGTCCTCTGACACTGAGCCATGTGTCAGAGCAGCTCTGAGCCACCGGCATGGTCCTCACAGGTGTCCCTGTAGATATGACTTCACGGAGACACCAACCCTCCTCTTCCTCCTCACTGCACTGTTAGCACTTGGCCCCAACCCTAAAAATATCCTTTTTTTTTTTTTTTTTTTGCCTGTCCCGTTTGGCTCTTTTGCATCAGAATTGTTGTTTAAAGGCAAAGAAAGATGCCCAACGGATTTACTTTACCAAACTGACCATCCCAGCCTTGCCGTAATGGTCCATTTGATTCACCTTTTATTGTTTATTTTATTTTCACTTACTGAATACGGGACAGACTTGACTGGGGGAAAGAAGGGGAGAAAGAAAGAGGGAAAGAGAAACAGCTGAGAAGAGGGACGGGGGAGAAGGGCAAAAGACAAAAACCAACAGAATGAGCAGAGAAAAAAAAATGCATATATCAATCACCTGGGTCACCTGCTGAGAAAGAAAAAAGAAAGCAAGCAGAAGAGAACAAGAGTAATAGAATAAACAACATCACAATGATATATGGGAATATGACAGTAGATACTAAATATTAAACATTATTGTGCAGCACATAAGATCAACAGAACACAGTGTGCTTTGAGGTAGGAGCCAAAAAAGGTGTAGTTTGTGGGTGTGATCACCCGTGTGTACACCTGTGAGCATGGACGTGCTTTCCACGTTTCAGATTTCCAGCTCGTATGAGACGGAGCTCATCAGAAGCTGGCCAAAGGCCACACCTACTCCATCGCGGCGGCCGAGCAGGTGAGGGAGAATCTGTGATCATGTGATCAGATCGACAGCTGGACAGATGCTCACAGGTGTAACGTTCTGCAGGTGCATCACTGTGGTTCTCTGGTGGAGCTGATCCAGATCAGGAACCCCTGGGGTCAGGTGGAGTGGACGGGCGCCTGGAGCGACAGGTGAGTCATGGTGCTCTGAGGTTCTGGAGCATCATCCTTAGCTGTGGTTTCACTGAACTTCCTGTGGTCAGCTCGAAGGAGTGGGACGGCATTCGGGCAGCGGAGAAGAGGCGGCTGGATTGCTGCGCCGAGGACGGCGAGTTCTGGTAGGTGGAGCCTGACGGTAGCGGGTTAAAATGTCTGCAGCTGCTGCAAACTCAGCCCGTCTCTGCCGCCTGCAGGATATTCTACCACGACTTCCTGAGTCACTTCTCCCGCCTCGACATCTGTAACCTGACACACTGACAAGCAACGAGGTCGGCTGCTGGAACTTTGCTGAGTTTGAGGGCACGTGGTGGGTGGGATCCATCGCCGGCGGCTGCAGGAACTACCCCGGTAGCCCACAGGAAGTGAAGCACTCTGGGTGATGATGTTTGATGTTCATGATGCAGAGCGCTCAGCTAACATGTGCTCCTGTGTCTCCGCAGCCACCTTCTTCATCCAGCTGGACGATGATCCTCACGATGGCGAGGAAGGCTGCACCATCCTCATTGGTCTGATGCAGAAAGATGCTCGAAGGGAGAGGCGCTTCGGACGTGACCTCAACACCATCGGCTTCGCCATCTACGAGGTTCAAACGCACCCGGCGCTGAGCTGATCACTTCCTGTTTAGCTTTGCTGTGCATCAACAAAGGTTTGGCGAGTCTCATGCTCTCTGTCGGTGTGCTTCCAGGTGCCCGATCAGGTGAGAACACAGCAGAAGTTCACCGAGTACACGGCTCCTGCGATGACCTCAGCAGGTTAGAAGGTCGATGCCTAAGGTGGACCTCATTCGTTAATATCTCCATGGAAACGCCCTAATGAGCATAAAAAACTAGCCCAAAAATCACAGTCACACTCAAACCTCTGTTAGCCAATCAGAATCAGGCTTCTTGACACATTCTGCCAACACCCACACCTGCGCATATAAAGAAACAGGTGGAGGTGCAGAGAGACGCCGAGCATCGCCATAGAAACAAAAAAATACAAGATGGCGCGGCCACGTCCAGACGCCTTCCTGACCGCTCCGCTCCGACTATCTACTTTTCTTGTTTTTTACCTATTTTTTGCTCTGGTTTACATCCCAAAATCCTCTAGTCTTATAGTTTACGACAGCGGATCACTTGTAAACATCGGTGCCAAGGTTGCACATCTAATCTTGGACACTTTTAAACCTGACCCTTCCTGGCCGCCAGAGATTCTACACGGCGTGGAGAACAACAAAGGACGGGCTGCTTATCCGAGGCGCAGAACAAAGAAGCGCCGGGGGAAACGCGCTGGTATTAGGAACAGACTGAGACAGCAGGCGCATCGCGCACCACTGCCCAGTATCCTACTGGCCAATGTACAATCCATGGAGAACAAGCTCGATGACCTAAGAGCAAGGGTCACCTTCCAACGTGACATGAGGGACTGCAACATTCTGTGCTTCACAGAGACATGGCTGACCCCCACCGTGCCGGACCAGGCCGTAACTCCGTCGGATTCATTCTTTGTGCTCCGCGCGGACAGAACGGCAGAGTCGAACAAAACCAAAGGTGGAGGAGTGTGTTTCATGATAAACAGAAAGTGGTGTGATGCCAGGAGCATTTCTGCTCTCTCCAGCGGCTGCTCGCCACATCTGGAGTTCCTGAGCATTAAGTGCCGCCCTTTCTATCTGCCCCGTGAGTTCACCTCAGTCATCGCCACGGCGGTCTACATCCCACCCCAAGCGGACACAGGTATGGCTTTGTCCGAATTACATGATGTGCTGAGCTCGCTTCAAAACAAGGACCCGGGCGCAGCCCTCATTGTAGCAGGAGACTTTAACAAAGCGAACCTCAGACAAGTCATGCCAAACTTTTACCAGCATGTCTCGTGTCCAACGAGAGGGGATCGGATTTTGGATCACTGCTACACGCCATACAAGCAGGGCTACAAAGTGTCTCACACCCGGCTTTTGGGAAGTCTGACCACAACGCCATCTTCCTCATCCCCCAGTATAAACAAAGCATACGGAGGGAAGACGTGACCACGAGGGAGGTAAAACGGTGGACTGCCCAATCAGAAGCTACGCTACAGGACGCACTCAACGACGTCGACTGGGACATGTTCAGAGCATGCGCAGTCGACATCAACGAGTTTACGGAAGTAGCAGTATGCTTCGTCAGTATGCTAGCGGAGGAGATTATCCCCACTGCGAGAGTCACCACATTCCCAAACCAGAAACCGTGGACGGACAGATCGATCCGCACTGCAGTAAACGCCAGGACGCCTCCTACAACGCGGGTCTCGCCACTGGCGATATGAGCGCCTACAAAGCGTCCTCATATGGCGTGCGGCGCGCGGTGAGAGATGCCAAACGCCGGTACCGGGAACGTGTGGAGTCCCGCTTCCACAATGTACATTTCAATTCCTTTAATTTTAAATATGTTTATATTGTCTATCCTGTAAAATAGTCAGATGTCTATTCATATTAATGTACAGAATTCACCTGCTTGCTGCTACTACTGCACATTCACCCAGTGTATATACTATATATATATAATGTTCTTCCTCTACACCCCCCCCCCCAATTTCTTTGCACATGTCGAGGAGCGTGTCAGGTTACATTTCACTGTGTGTTATACTTCTATAACTATGCATGTGACAAATAAAGAACCTTGAACTTGAACTTGAACTTGAACCAGGGCGACACACGGAGTATGTGGCACGGACTACGCACCATTACGGACTACAAAGCCAGGGACACTGCGCTGATCAACGCTGACTCTGCATTCACCAACGAGCTGAATCGGTTCTACGCCCGTTTCGAGGTTAGCCAGGCGGCTAATGCTAACTACCGCCTGACTACCGAGGACAGTGACGTCATCAGCGAGAGACCGGTGACCAGCATCGTGGAGCATGACGTCCGAGCGGCACTGAGGAGAGTGAACACAAGGAAAGCGGCGGGGCCAGACGGCATCACCGGCCGTCTGCTGCGCTGCTGTGCTGACCAGCTAGCAGGTGTGTTCACTTACATCTTCAACGAGTCCCTGGCGAAGTCTGTGGTCCCCACATGCTTCAAAAGATCCACCATCATCCCTGTGCCCAAGAACAGCAAACCCTCATCCCTGAACGATTACCGGCCAGTTGCACTGACCTCGGTAGTAATGAAGGTGTTTGAGAGGCTGCTGAAGAACATCATCTCCTCCTCCATCCCAGACACCACAGATCCGCTGCAGTTCGCCTACAGATCCAACAGATCCACAGAGGATGCCATCGCCCACGTCCTACACACCACTCTCAGCCACGTGGACAAGAAACAGGGTAACTATGTGCGAATGCTGTTTGTTGATTACAGTTCAGCGTTTAACACAATAGTGCCCTGCAGACTGTTCACAAAGCTGAGGGATCTGGGACTTAACAGCCGTCTGTGTGCATGGGTGTTGGACTTCCTCACTGGCAGAACTCAGGTGGTGAGGGTGGGCAGGTGCTTCTCCAACAGCATCACCATCAACACAGGAGCACCTCAGGGATGTGTCCTCTCGCCACTGCTCTACTCCCTCTACACTTCAGACTGTGTGGCCACCCATGGCTCCAACACCATTGTGAAGTTTGCTGACGACACAGTGGTGTTGGGTGCCATCTCCAACAACGATGAGGCGGCCTACATGGATGAAGTGAAGAATCTGGCATCGTGGTGCCAGGACAACCACCTCCAGCTGAACGTCAGCAAGACCAAGGAGCTGGTGGTGGACTTCAGAAGGGGTCAGCACAGAGACTACAAGCCCATCATCATCAATGGAGCTCCAGTGGAGAGGGTGCAGTCCTTCAAGTATCTTGGTGTCCACATCTCCTCAGACCTGACATGGGCTGCCCACATTCACGTCCAGACCAAAAAGGCTAGGCAGCGCCTGTATCACCTACGACAACTGAGGAAGTTCAGGGTCTCTCCAAAGATCCTCTTTTCTATACAGGCGCTGTGGAGAGCATCCTCACACAGAACATGACATCGTGGTTTGGGAACAGCTGTGTGAAGGACCAAAAAGCTCTCCAGAGAGTGATCCGTACAGCAGAACGCTGCTGCAGGATTGCTCTCCCCCCGCTTCAGGACACCTACACCAGGAGATGCCGGACTAGAGCAGCGCAGATACTGAAGGACCCGTCCCATCCTGGCAACAAACTGTTCCAACTTCTACAATCTGGTAGAAGGTTCCGCATCTTCTGGGCAAGGACAGAGAGACTCAAGAGGAGCTTCTATCCCCAAGCCATCTGGGCCCTAAACACACACACCCGCCCTCTCACATCATCTATAATTGACTGAGACAGGACTCTTCCAGACACTAAACCAAGGCACAATGTACATTTCAATACCTTTAATTTTAAATATGTTTATATTGTCTATCCTGTAAAATAGTCAGATGTCTATTCATATTAATGTACAGAATTCACCTGCTTGCTGCTACTACTGCACATTCACCCAGTGTATATACTATATGTATGTGTGTATGTATGTGTGTGTGTATATATATATACATACATATGTATATATATATATATATATATATATATATATATATAAATAATGTTCTTCCTCTACACCCCCCCCCCCCCAATTTTTGCACACGTCGAGGAGCGTGTCAGGCTACATTTCACTGTGTGTTATACTTGTATAACTATGCATGTGACAAATAAAGAACCTTGAACCTTGAAATGAACCAGCTGCTAGTTAACGAGAGACACCTGGAATGGCTAACTGAAGGCCGGACGGTCCTGATCCCCAAGGACCCCAAGAAGGGACCGGTCCCCTCCAAATACCGACCAATAACCTGCCTCAGTACTACATGGAAGCTCCTGTCAGGCATCATATTGGCTAAGATGAACAGGCACATGGGTCAATACATGAGCGGGACACAGAAAGGAATTGGCAAGAATACCAGAGGCGCAAAACACCAGCTACTGGTAGACAGAACAATCAGCCGAGACTGCAAGACCAGACTGACCAACCTGTGCACTGCCTGGATTGATTACAAGAAGGCCTATGACTCAATGCCCCACAGCTGGATACTGGAATGCCTAGAATTGTACAAGATCAATGGGACCCTAAGAGCCTTCATCAGGAACTCAATGGGGATGTGGCGTACAACACTAGAGGCCAACTCCAAGCCCATAGCACAAGTCACCATCAAGTGCGGGATCTACCAAGGAGATGCTCTGTCCCCACTGCTGTTCTGCATAGGCCTGAACCCCCTCAGTGAGATCATTAACAAGACTGGCTACGGATACCGACTACGGAACGGAGCAGTTGTCAGCCACCTCCTGTACATGGATGACATCAAGCTTTATGCCAAGAGTGAACGAGACATCGATTCACTGATCCACACTACCAGGCTATACAGCAATGACATTGGAATGTCGTTCGGACTGGAGAAGTGTAGTCGGATGGTAACAAACAGAGGGAAGGTAGTCAGAACTGAGGGGATTGAACTACCAGAATTAGAATTAGAATTAGAATTCAACTTTATTGTCATTGCACATGCACAGGTACAGGGCAACGAAATGCAGTTTGCATCCATCCAGAAGTGCTTTAGTGATATAGATATATTACAATATATATTAGCAATAATATAGATATGTGAGTATATTACAGAAATGGGTCTATTATGGTATGTTATAATGTACACTGTATGAAGTATGTTGTGAATATTCTATAACTATAAGTATGTACAGGCTGTAGTGAGTACAAGCTATGTACAGGATATGAACAGGATATAAATATGAAAAACTATACAGAATATGAAATAAATAACTTTACAGAATCTGAGATATACAGCTATACAGAAATGGGAACTATGCAAGTTGTAAACAGTTGTAGGATTAAAAATTATCGAATGTACAGAATGATTATTTACACAGAGCTATACAGTAGTGCAGTTAAGATAAGTGAGGGTGTAGATAGTTTCTACAGAGGCTATATAAAGTGCTAGTGGTTGTGAGTGGTGGTTCAGTCCATGTTATTATTGTGTTTGAGGGTACAGTTGTCCATTGTGGGTGTGTGTATGTTCAGTCCATGAGTTTAACGTGGGTCAGATGTCAGGAGGCAGAGTTCAGGAGTCTGACAGCTGTGGGGAAGAAGCTGTTCCGGTACCTGGTGGTCTTAGTCCGGAGGCTCCTGTGGCGCCTCCCAGAGGGCAGGAGGGTGAAGAGTCCATGTGATGGGTGACTGGGGTCTTTGATGATTTTCCCAGCCCTTTTCAGACACCGCTTCCTGTAGATGTCTTTTATGGCAGGAAGTGGTGCTCCGGTGATGCGCTGGGCAGTTTTCACGACCCTCTGCAACGCCTTCCGGTCCGAGGCAGAGCAGTTCCCGTACCAGACTGTTATACAGTTGGTCAGGATGCTCTCGATGGTGCAGCGATAGAAGTTCACCAGGATGTCTGAGGACAGGTGGTTCTTCCTCAGAGTCCTCAAGAAGAAGAGGCGCTGGTGAGAAGGCAACATTGCAGACATAGAGGACAGTTACAAGTACTTGGGGATCCCGCAGGCGAATGGGAACCATGAAGAGGCCGCTAGAAAAGCTGCAACCACCAAGTACCTGCAGAGGGTCAGGCAAGTCCTGAGGAGTCAGCTGAATGGTAAGAACAAGATCCGGGCCATCAACACGTACGCCCTGCCCGTGATCAGGTACCCTGCTGGGGTAATAGGCTGGCCAAAAGGAGGAGATAGAAGCCACTGACATAAAGACAAGAAAGCTCCTTACCATGCATGGAGGGTTTCACCCCAAGTCCAGCACCCTGAGGCTGTACGCTAAGCGGAAGGAAGGGGGCCGGGGACTGGTGAGTGTCAGCACCACGGTCCAGGATGAGACAACGAACATCCAAGAATACATTGGGAAGATGGCCCCAACTGACCGAGTGCTCAGTGAATACCTCAGGCAGCAGAAACCCAAGAAAGAGGAGGGAGACGAGGAACCATCATGGAAGGACAGGCCCCTGCACGGTATGTACCACCGGCAGATAGAGGAGGTGGCTGATATCCAGAAATCCTACCAGTGGCTGGACAAAGCTGGACTGAAAGACAGCACAGAGGCACTAATCATGGCAGTACAAGAACAAGCTCTGAGCACAAGATCCATAGAGGCTGGGGTCTATCACAGCAGGCAAGACCCCAGGTGCAGGCTGTGTAAAGATGCCCCAGAGACAATCCAGCACATAACAGCAGGGTGCAAGATGCTAGCAGGCAAGGCATACATGGAACGCCATAACCAAGTGGCCGGCATAGTGTACAGGAACATCTGTGCCGAGTATAACCTGGAAGTCCCGAGGTCAAAATGGGAGATGCCCCCAAGGGTGGTGGAGAATGACTGAGCTAAGATCCTGTGGGACTTCCAGATACAGACGGACAAAATGGTGGTGGCTAACCAACCGGACATAGTGGTGGTAGACAAACAGAAGAAGACGGCTGTAGTGATCGATGTAGCGGTTCCAAATGACAGCAATATCAGGAAGAAGGAACACGAGAAGCTGGAGAAATACCAAGGGCTCAGAGAAGAGCTGGAGAGGATGTGGAGGGTGAAGGTAACGGTGGTCCCCGTGGTAATCGGAGCACTAGGTGCGGTGACTCCCAAGCTAGGCGAGTGGCTCCAGCAGATCCCGGGAACAACATCGGAGATCTCTGTCCAGAAGAGCGCAGTCCTGGGAACAGCTAAGATACTGCGCAGGACCCTCAAGCTCCCAGGCCTCTGGTAGAGGACCCGAGCTTGAAGGATAAACCGCCCGCAGGGGCGTGCTGGGTGTTTGTTTTTTTTTTATAATGTTCTTCCTCTACACCCCCCCCAATTTTTGCACATGTCGAGGAGCGTGTCAGGCTACATTTCACTGTGTGTTATACTTGTATAACTATGCATGTGACAAATGAAGAACCTTGAACCTTGAGAAACTGTATCATGTTGAGGTCTGAATGTTTCTAACATTTAATATGAACCCTGCTCTTTGGTGTTGATGTCTTTATTTCATCTTCCCCCTCCGACGTCACGTTCCCCGTCTGCGTTTGTTTCATGCGTCGCGTTCATCACTCAATGTTTCTCTTTTTAAATATTCAACCTTTATTGAACCAGGACGATCCCACTGAGATTAAAACTCTTTTTAAGGGAGACCTGGCCAAATATCACACAGTTACAAAGATTAAACACACACACACAAAAATAAAATGAAATGACAATCTACATGAAACAGTTACATGTTATGGAACTGGCCTCCAGGACTCTTAGTTTTGATTTAAAAAAAACAAATGGTCCAAGGAGCGTGGAAAGAAAAGCGTCTGGACTTTTTTAAGGCTGTGTCCACACTAATGCGCTTTCATTTTGAAACGCGTGGTTTTCTCTCTCCCTTTTGGCCTCCCGTCCACACTGAGACGCGTTTTCCCTGAAAGAAAACGAAGTGTTTTGAAAACGCTGCTTTTGTGTCGCAGTGTGGACAGCGAAAAGGGAGACTTTATAAAACAATGATATATGTTAGTCATGTGATGCAGTGACCAATTAAACTAAGATAGTGGAGGGCATTACACAGCATTGTTTTGTCTGCCCTATTAAAGATTAACATCAGTCTGTATGCGCTCCAGAGAGCTTTTCTTCAAATTCTTCAATTCTCACTCGCTTTTGCAACTTTGCACTTTTGTGTTACTCGCAGCAACAACTCCACCTCATTGTTAGTCCATTTTAAAAACTCGGTGCTTTTCCTCGACATTTTGCCGCAACGTTTCAAAGAGCTGGAAAGTAAATAAATGGCAGACAGAAATGAGGCAGGTCGAATCTTCTTGCGTTTCACACATGCACAGTACTGGAACGTCAGCGTTTTGGGCCGTTTCAATGTGAATGAAAGACTCTGTGAAAACGATTGAAAACGATAGCGTGGACGCGTTTTCAAATCTATCCAGGCTAGTGCGGACGTGGCCAAAGTTGTCTGTGAGGTGTGAAAACAGGTGTGGGTCACAATCACCCCAAACCTTGGCTGATTGTGACCCACACAGTATCAACCATTCAAAGACACTGAAGCATTCATATGTAGAATATCTCCATAATGCAGCAACAGTAGAAATGTTGCAGCAACAAGTCGCTTCTTTGTATTAACAGAAAAACAACTTATTGTGAAAATCAAAGTTTGTTTGTCTACATGTGGTTTAAAGGTGAGTCATCAATAAAGACGGGGTGGCTGTAACTCAAGAGGTACAGCAGGTTGCCTACTAATCGGAAGGTTGTTGGTTTGATCCCTGGCTCCTCCAGTCTGCATACCAAGTATCCTTGGGCAGCATAATAAGCCCAAGTTGCTCTCTGATAGAGTATGAATGTAGTTAGGAAGCATCTCAGTTTAGAAGAAGTGCTTGTGTGAATGTGGCTTGTTGTATAGAGCGCTTTGAGTACTCCGGGAGAGAAGAAAAGCGCTATATAAGAATCGGTCCTATTAAAGATGCCTGGATATTTATACGTGTGAACCAACTTCCTTGATTGGGAAAACAACATGAGCTTTGTTTTGTCTGCATTGAGAACAGGTTTAAGTAATGAGTGCTGGACTTTCTGCAAGGAGTCAGAGGCTTGGACAGCAGTTGGACCACAGCTGTAAATAACTGTGTCATCAGCACAGAAGTGCAAGTTTGCATCTGGCACAATGTAAATGATGAATAGAAGAGGACCTAATACAGAGCCCTGTGGCACTGACACTTTCACTGCAGCTGTGACAGTTCTGTGATTTTTCCTCAAACATGATTCAGATAAAATATCATAGGTGTACAAAAACTGCTTTAACTACTCGCACACAAGAGCTTCAAGAACTTTGGCCAGCACAGATAGATTAGATGTTGGTCTAATCCCCCCCCCCACTCCGATGCGTTCATCGGAGTGTGAATTTAGCTTGTGTGAGTGGGTGAATGAGAGTAGAAAAGCGCTATATAAGAATCAGTCTATTTACCATTTTACGCTGGAGGGTTTGTGCTGGATTTTACAGAGAGTCAAACACAGAGACAGACGATATATAGTGCTTGTTAAAGCAGTTCATAATCTCCTTCCTATCGTAAACAGGAACAGAGTCCTTAAAAACATAGGTGGGTAGAGCATTAGAGCTGTTGCTCACTGAAAGAGACTTAATGATTTTCCAGAACTGCTGTGGGTTATTTAGGTTCTCCATCCATCCATCCATCCATCTTCACCCGCTTTATCCGAGGCCGGGTCGCGGGGGCAGCAGCCTAAGCAGAGAGGCCCAGACCTCCCTCTCCCCAGCCACCTCCTCCAGCTTATCCGGGGGAATACCAAGGCGTTCCCAGGCCAGCCGAGAGATATAATCTCTCCAGCGTGTCCTGGGTCTGCCCCGGGGCCTCCTCCCGGTGGGACATGCCTGGAACACCTCACCCAGGAGGCGCCCAGGAGGCATCCTTGTCAGATGCCCGATCCACCTCAGCTGGCTCCTTTCGATGTGGAGCAGCAGCGGCTCTACTCTGAGCCCCTCCCGGATGGCCGAACTTCTCACCCTATCTCTAAGGGAGAGGCCAGCCACCCTTCGGAGGAAGCTCATTTCTGCCGCTTGTATCCGCGATCTCGTTCTTTCGGTCACTACCCACAGCTCGTGGCCATAGGTGAGGGTAGGGACGTAGATCGACCGGTAAATTGAGAGCTTCGCTTTTACACTCAGCTCCCTCTTCACCACGACGGACCGGTGCAGCGTCCACATTACTGCAGCTGCAGCCCCAATCCGTTTGTCGATCTCCGGCTCCCTTCTCCCATCACTCGCGAACAAGACCCCGAGATACTTGAACTCCTCCACTTGTGGCAGGAACTCATCCCCGACCCGGAGTGGGCACTCCACCCTTTTCCGGCTGAGAACCATGGCCTCAGATTTGGAGGTGCTGATCCTCATTCCCGCTGCTTCACACTCGGCTGCGAACCGTTCCAGTGCGAGCTGGAGGCCCTCACCCGATGAAGCCAACAGAACCACATCATCTGCAAAAATCAGAGATGAGATTCTGAGGCCACCAAAGTGAAAGCCCTCCGCCACTTGGCTGCGCCTAGAAATCCTGTCCATAAAAATTATGAACAGAACCGGAGACAAAGGGCAGCCCTGGCGGAGCCCATCACCCACCGGGAACGAGTCCGACTTATTGCCGGCAATGCGAACCAAGCTCTTGCAACGGTTGTATAGGGATCGAATGGCCCGTAGCAATGGGCCAGACACCCCATACTCCCGCAACACCTCCCACAGGACACCCCGAGGGACACGGTCGAATGCCTTCTCCAAGTCCACAAAACACATGTAGACTGGTTGGGCAAACTCCCATGCACCCTCAAGTATCCTGGAGAGGATAAAGAGCTGGTCCAGTGTTCCGCGACCAGGACGAAAACCGCATTGTTCCTTCTGTATCTGAGGTTTGACTTGCGGACGAACTCTCCTTTCCAGCACCCTGGCATAGACTTTCCCAGGGAGGTTCTCAGTGGTGACAAATAGTCTTTTGATTTAGCTTTCTTAATAGAGGAAATACATTTGTTTCTTAGTTGTCTGAAAGAAGCCAATCAGTGGGAGAACCTGTTTTCCTAACTTTGGCCAAGGTTACGCTCATGAATGATATCTGCCAGCTCTGGGGAGAACCTGGCATTTTTTCCTAAATCTCTTTAATGGAGCATGTTTATACACAATTTACATCCCTAAAAAATTGTCCACGCTACTCCTACACCAGGGATCAATCCTATTTTCCTCCAGTCATTGTTGGGACTTGGGCACCTCAGTGTTTCTATTAACAGCAGCATCACAGCGGACACTTAAGTCACAAGACCCCCAAGGATGAGAATTTATGAGAAACATTTGTCAGAATCAGGATAACCAAGGTAGACTTTTCAGGGCTTTGAACCAGCTGGGTAAGATTGATAGAATCACAGAAAGATTTGAAATCATGAAACAGCTTTGAGCCAATCCCAGTTAGAGTCACCGGCTAACCCAAGCTCACTGTAGTCTGGACAGGAAACGCTCCTGTAGAGGCAGAAGGACAACAAACAGATGAACCATTGTGGCATCAAACTTTAACATAAGCAGCAACAGTGCCACCTTTCTTAAGCCTGTAAGCCGGTACGATAAACACTGTATCCAGTCATGCTAATATAGTCATCAGAAATATACTTAGACACGTTTCAGAAATTAAATATCCACATCTGTTGATCGAACCCAAACCCTGACCATATCCATCTAACAAACTGCACACACTAAGATGAACAATCTTCAGGTGAGGATTTAAATCCAGATGGTGTCTGAGCTCAGGGCCAGGTTAGGTTGCACATTATCAGATAAGAGCAGTAATAAGACGGGAGTCTTTGCTTCGTAATATTACGTACTGAATTGGACTTTTCGAATGTTGAAAGTAAGCACAATGTTTCATAACTCGTGAGGTAATCAGGCAAAGCAAGGAGGTTTTGAAGTTGAGGTACATCTTTGGGTGAATCAGGTGATAAGTTCAAGTCCTGTGGCAAATGCATTGATGGTTGTACAGGATGTAGAGCAGCAATGATGTATGTGGACCTGGGAACAATGAGCATGCTGTTAAATGTGCTCAGTGCCCCAAAGTCCCCCAAACCAATAAGGAAAATAAGGTTACTGTCATGGTCCTGCGGCCATGACTCAGTGACTTTGTGTTTGTGTTCTTTATTGTTATTACTTTCATGATTATTCGTGGCTTTTTTGGGATGGTTTGTGTTTGGGATTTTAGATACTGGGTTCTGGGTTTGTGCTCCCTCTATTGGTCCCTGGTGTTAGTGTTCCCCTGTCTCGTCAGGTTAATCAGGTCCAGCTGTTTCCCCCACCTGTGTGTGATTCCCAGTGTCTCTCTGTGTACTTATAGTGCGTGTTTTCCTCTGTTCCTCGTCGCGACGTCTGTGTTCATACCCTGTGAAATTCCCTGCGTGCTCTCCCTGCTGTTCTCCCTTCATGTTCAGGTTTGCCACTCCTTTGTGTAGTTTCTCCCAGTTTAGTTCGTCCTTAGTTCAGTTTTGCCATCTCCACTTTATGCTTGGTATTGTCAATAAATCACCCTTCACGTCTGAAATAGTGCTGCGTTTGAGTCCTCCTTCCACTCTTCACACGGCCGCTGACCCGGACCGTGACAGTTACAAAGAGCCAAGAGCTATCTGTAACACACACTTGTTGATGCAGAGTTAAGCAAACATCAGCGAGCTGCACAAACCTAGACAAGCAACAAAGGCTTCACTGGAGCACATCTAAGACTAAAGATGTGATCACTGATTTTGGGACGAGCACTTACACATGAAGTCCTCTTCTAAAGTGCAGGGGTGTGTTTATCGACTCAGGGCTGAAGTTAAAGCAAACTGAAGCTGTGTGTCAGAAGCCTCATCGGCGACTCTCGAGCCTCAGAGGCTTTCTCACTCGCACTTTGATAAAAACACGATGGTTTCATTTCATCAGCTTTTACTGATTACATGTTTAAGTAACAGCTGATTGGTGAAGCACATCCCTGTACAGCAGTTAGCCGTTTGCACGGCGAGTCTCAGCTGTTGTTGTTGTTTGCTGCCTGTGAGGATTGATGACTGCAGAACAAACGGCCTACAGGTGCAAATAAAATAACCACAACCTGAATCAAATAAATGCCTTGGTAGGACTCAGAGATGCCTCCGTCTCCAGGTCTCACCTTCTTATTCTTCTGCGGTCCGTATAAAGGTCGTTCTAACGTCCGCCTGGGCCCGGACGTCCTCCTGAGAGACCAGTCAGTGGCTCGCAGTCACGCCTTCATCAACCTGAGGGAGGTATGCGATCGCTTCAAATTGCCACCCGGAGAGTACGCCATCGTCCCGTCCACCTTCGAACTGCACCGCAAAGGAAGCTTCGTACTGACGGTGTTTACGGAGAAGGAAGCCCACACCAGGTCCCGACTTCAGGGTGACAGGGTTACGCTGCATAACCGCTACACAGTCTGACATCTGCTCTCCTGTTTCAGCCCCATGAGCTCCAGCAGATTTTGGACAAAGCGGAGTAAGAAGAGTTTAACGTTTCACTGGATTGGGCCCACAGGAAAGTCCTGCTGATGGTTGTGCTCTGCTCTGATTTCAGGGTCGGACATTACAACCGATGGCTTCAGCCTGCAAACCTGCTGTGACATCATCAGCCTGCTGGATGTATCCTTCATACGAAATCATGACACGCAGACAGTATCACATGCTAACGTGTGTTTGATAGAGTTTTAGGACACGCCTCCACTGGAAACTACAAAAAACACAGAAAACCAGAATTTTCTAACATCCATGCAGTTTACAGCCCATCAGCAGAAAACTGATACGTGATCAAGGAGTGATCGAACTGACTGAGCAGTTACAGAGTGTGAGCCAACCATCGATGATGCGTGTGACTCACCTGTGTGGCGTCAGGTGATCAGGTGTGCGGTTCCTGAACTGACCTCAGACTGACGGCAGCTCCAGACTGGGCCTGCTGGGTGAAGATGCAGACGTACCTGGTGAGTTCTCGCCTGTGTGTGAGCACTGTTACAGCTTCTGTCAGAGTCGGCATGGCGATGACCTCACTGCTCGCTGCTGTCGTGTGCAGGAGATCTTTAAGAGTCACGACTCGGACGGGTCTGGCACGATGAGCAGCCACGAGATGAGAGCGGCTCTGGCTGAAGCCGGTAAGACTCCTAAATTCAAATTTTATTTGTCACGTACACAGTCATACACAGTACGATATGTAGTGAAATGCTTGGACAACTGCTCGTGACCTAAAGAAAACAAAAAAGGAAAAGGCTATGAATAAGATAGGAAATAAATATGAAAAATTAAAAAGGGTAAATTTAACTAAGAAGGAATAAAATATAAATTAAGGTTAAAAATGAAATAACTGTACAACACAAATTAGAATGAAGGGTAAATTTAACTGGGAAGAATAAGATAAAATACATAAATTAAAGTTGAAAATAAAATAACTGTACAACAAAATACACAATACACAATATAGAACTATATAAGAATGTATGAAGAAATCTAAATATAAATAAATATATACACAATAACAGCAGCTGTACAAGTATTAACCGGAAATGAAGAATATAGTGACCAGTGTTGTGCAAAAACAATGTCCAGAAAGTCCAGTGTGTGTGTAAGAACCATATGTGTGGGTCAGTACTGTGTGGTGGTGTGATTGAGAGACCGTATCGCCTGCGGGAAGAAGCTCCTCCTCAGTCTCTCTGTGTTGGTCTTCAGGGAGCGGAATCGCTTTCCTGACCTCAGCAGAGAGAACAGTCTGTTGTTGGGATGGCTGAGGTCCTTCACCATCTTCCTGGCCTTGGTCCTGTAGATTGAGTGCAGGTCAGGGAGCTCGGAGCGGCCCCGCCCACTCCTAGTGGGAGTGGGCGGGGCCAACCGACGGCCCCCTTTCAGCCCACTCCACGCACTTCCACAAACTCTCCTTCAAAGCTGACATCTACTGCTGTGGGAGGAGCTACAGCAGGAGACGTATCCATGATTGGCCCTCTCAGGTGGAAAACAGAGCTCCTGGACAGGTCTACCTGGCATGCGTGTCTCACCTGGTGGCTCCTCCTCTTGTGTTTCAGGGTTCCAGCTGAACAGCACAGTGATCCAAGAGATTGTCGCTCGCTACACCGACAGAAGCTACGCCATCGACTTCGACCGTTTCATCGGCTGCTTGATCCGTCTGGAGATGCTCTTCAGTGAGTTCCCACCGCTCCTAGTATTCCCACTGCTCACACTATTCCCAGTATTCGAACTGTTCCCACTCAGTGTTCCCACTGTTCCCAGTGTCCTCAGCTGTCTGTGGTTGTGCTTGTACGTAACGTTTTAAATGTTTTCTTATTTCCCACTTCAGGGATGTTCAGGACTCTGGATCCAGCTGGACCTGCAGCAGGTAAACCACACCTAAGCAGTGCAGTCCCTCTCTTATTGGCTGACATACATGAAATCATCACTGACCTCATTTCCTTCTGCAGTGGCTGTGCCTCACCATCAACTGAGAGCTGCCACTCCAGGAGCATGCTGGGAAAAGGATTTAGGCAGCACTGTCTTTGGTAAGCTGAAGGCATCGTATCCAAAGCAGCGTTAGCATCATGCAGTAGCTGAACAGTTTAACGTGCACGTTTGTGTTGGAGGATAATGTTGGCAAAAAGTCTAAAGAGGCTCCAGCGAGCATCGCGAACATGTTCACTGTGAATGATTTTGTTTCCTTGCAAGTAAAATAAACACGTTGGATTGGCTGCTGTGTCTCAGTTATAACAGATACCATGGTTACCGTGCAAAGGACAGGAAGCTGATGCTGCGGTCGCTGACTCTGAAACAGTCCAAATAAAATCTGAAGAAAAGCTTTTGTGTTTGTTTTCTGTTTGCGGCTGTTACCCAATCAGCACTCTGCCTCTGCTGGACGTCAGAGGAACTGCAGTGAGTCAGTGCCCACAGACTCATGCTAACATGTTTACAGCCTGATACACAAACTGGTCACAACACCTGCACCGTTGACTCACCTGTTGAAATTATCACCCGAACTCCTCCAAGGTCCGCGGCGTGTCCTGGAAGAGACCCACGGTCAGTACCCGCTCCAATCCCGCACCTGTCGCACCTGCGTTACCTGAAACACGCTGATCAAACGGGCCGCTGTCAGGGTTGATTGGCAGATTGATTGATGATCAGGCTGAGCATGAGTGAGTGATCACTTTTATCTGGTCAATGAAACTGACCTGAGAGCAGCCGAGCTACCTGTGGCTCTGCTCGGCTCTCAGGTGAGTCTCACCTGAGCTCCGCTGCTTAAATTAGATGTTTTTTGCATGGAGTCTGGTTTGATAGCAATCATCTGTTTTTGCTCAGCCTGCTTCCTCAGAGCTGATAATCAGCCGTGACATCACACACCTCTCAGACCACTCAGAGATCAGCTGATCACAGGTGTGATTAAAGTGCCTGAAGGAGAGCTCCTCAGGTGAGCTGACCCTGTTTCTTGATCACGAGCTTTCACTTTGATCAGTGAGATTGAACTGTCACAGAGCCGCGTCTGTCTGGTGATTATTGATCACTACGGAACGAGTTGGCGGCCGTGTGATGAAAACGCTGTTTCAGGTGCACACAGGAAGCACGATGACCTCACGCACAGGAAGAGTGACCTCAGAGAGCTGGCTGTTAAAAACCCTTTTGCTCAGTTTTCTCCACCATCAATCAATCAATCAATTAGTCTTTATTTGTACAGCAGTGTTGGTGCACGTCAGGCAGCTGATGATGACTGTTGCTTATGTGCAGGAGCTGACCTCTGACCCAGAGTTCATTGTATCCGGGGCCTCGAGGACCGACATCTGTCAGGGAGCTCCGGGTGAGAAACTGCTGTTCTTTGATTACCTGCGCAGGTAACGCAGGTAACTTGATGACTTGATGTTTTTATCCACAGCGTTAATGTGCGCAGTGAAGGATTCCACTTCTTGTGTCTTGATTTTGACCCAGGTGTCGTCCACATATCTGTACCAGTGGCTGGGTACTCTTCCTTTGAAAGAGCCAAGAGCCTTCCTTTCCACTTCCTCCATGTAAAGGTTGGCTACAATAGGTGACACGGGGGAGCCCATGGCACAGCCATGTTTTTGTCTGTAAAAGCCTTCGTTGTACTTGAAATATGTAGTGGTGAGGCAGAGGTCTAACAGTGTGCAGATCTGATCGGGTGTGAAGTTGGTCCTGTCCTCCTTCACTGCGCACATTAACGCTGTGGATAAAAACATCAAGTTCACCAGGGAAGACACAAAGGACAACTGTTTGCCTTTCCTGGACTGCGCTGTGCACATTGAAGAGAACGGCAAACTCAACATCGAAGTTTACGGGAAGCCCACACACACGGACCAGTACCTCCTCTTTGACTCCCATCACCCTCTGGAGCACAAACTTGGAGTAATTAGGACCCTACACCACCGGGCAGAACATGTTCCCTCTAAGCCTGAAGGGAAAAAGAAGGAACACACACATGTAAAGGAAGCACTCAAAACGTGCGGCTATCCTAAATGGGCGTTCTTAAAGTCAGCAAAGAGGCACAGAAAAGAAGACCAGACACCAGCGAGGGAGGATAAGAAGGACAGACGCAACAACATTGTCATCCCCTATGTAGCCGGTGTATCAGAGAAACTCAGGAGTTTTCTCCAAGCATGACATCCAGGTGCATTTCAGACCCAGCAACACGCTCAGACAGAAACTGGTTCACCCGAAAGACAAAACGCCAAAACACAAACTTAACAATGTGGTGTATGCTGTACAGTGCAGCGAGGAATGCTCAGACCTCTACATCAGAGAGACCAAACAGCCACTTCACAAGCGCATGGCACAACACAGAAGAGCCACCTCCACAGGACAAGACTCAGCAGTCCATCTGCATCTAAAGGTCAAAGGTCACTCTTTTGAGGATGCCAATGTTCACATTTTGGACAGAGAGGACAGATGGTTTGAAAGAGGAGTGAAAGAAGCATCTATGTCCACTGTGAGCGACCATCTTTGAACAGAGGCGGGGTTTATGACACCAACTCTCTGCCATCTATAATCCAGTTTTGAGATCCTTCCCAGACGCCTTAACGCCCACTCACATCCTGGGCCATCTGACCTCAGGAAATCACATGATAAGGTGGGGCCAGGTTTCACAATGAGCTCACCCGAAACTCTGGCTGATTGGGACCCACACCCAGTTTCCCACCTTGTCTCAGGCGATTAGAGGATCATCAGGGGGTCCTTTGTCCCTCTGTGGGGGGACACTCCCACTAGGTTTATATCTGGGACTCTCCACCATTTGACCTTAGAACTGAAGAAGCTTCTCAGATGAAGGTGAAACGTCTTCAAGCAACTTAAAGAAGTCCAGACGCTTTTCTTTGCAAGCTCCTTTGACTACGATGACCTGGATGACTGAGAACCTTCACAGACATCTGATAACGTTAGTGGTTCATATTAAAGTAGATAAAAGTAAATTCTTTTAATCGTATCTGAGTCGATCAATCGATGATGCCAGTCGTTAGAAAACGCACTCATGTGCGGGGGACACCTGAGACTGTTTGTGTTTCACATCCACAGCAGAGCTGGAAAATTCCACTCAGCTGCGTGTGTTTTTTAACAGGTGTGTGTGTGTGGCGAGTGTCATCTTGTCAACACAAACTATAAACATGCTGACAGGTGAGTGGGTGGCAGCTACTTCACTGTGACGTGAGCCTGTAGTCTAGTAATAGTTTCTATAGTAACAGAGGGAGACGCCCAGCAGAGTGTAGCCAATCAGACGGCAGCTTCCCCTGTAAAGGTGTCTGACTCCAAACAAGGAAACGGGTGAAGTTTTCTTTGAAAACAGGTGTGGAAAAACGCCTGAGGCGGGTGTGTCATCCACCTGTCAAACATGTTCTGTTTACATCTTACAGCCTGTAGAGTAATCAGAGTATCAGCTGACTGCGTGGCATCACAGGCCCATTGGCAGGTTAAAGGACCAATCAGATTTGGCTTTGATGTCCATCAGCAGTTTCCCCTCGCCGACTTCATATTCTGTGTGTGCATTTTGTTTATTTGACTTAAGTCCCCCCCCTGTCTGTCGTCGTCCAGGTGACTGCTGGCTGCTCGCCACCATTGCCTCTCTGACCCTGAATGAAGAGATCCTGGCTCGAGTGGTCCCGCAGGGTCAGAGCTTCAGAGATGGAGAGTACGCTGGCATCTTCCACTTCCAGGTAGACTTTCAGAAATTGCCCTGCTGACACCTGCACGCCGTGGCGGCGGCTTTGCACTCACTAACACGTCTCCGGTCACTCTAGAATAGAATAGAGTAGAGTAGTCCTTTATGGGTGCTCCACCCGACAGGAATTCAATTCAGTTTTATTTATAAAGCACATCAAGGCGCTTTATATTACACAATAATACATACAGAGAAAAACCCAACAATCATATTACCCCCTATGTGCAGCACCTTGGCGACTGAGGCACCGACCACAGTTGGTAGGTGGGGTTATTAGGGCTTACCTGTGATGGTTTACCTGAGACAGGAGGATCTGGCGATGGGCTCCAGGGGTGGCAGGGGTCAGCCAATGATTTTTTTGGGTGGTGTTAATGACCCTCTGGGCAGACTTCCTGTTCTCAGTCATACGAAACACCAGGAGAGCTCGCTCTCCACTGATCATCCTCATCATTTCTGCTTCACTGGCAGGGCTAGGGGCCAGGACTCTCCTCTTCGTGTTTTTGGGGATGTTGCTAACTCCGGGTCCGATAACAGGCACCACACCCGCAGTAGATGCGCTCGGTGTGAGGTCTCGCAGCAAGCTATCAAATACGGCGCATTTATCGGCTTTTTAAAAAAAAAGCTATGCATCGCCAGGTGTTTCATCGGATTCGAGGTGTTGCCTCCTTTGACAGTATCAGCTTAAAGCACTTGTTGCTGCTGAGTTTGCATATTTTGCTGTGAAATACAGCCAGACTTTTAACCGCTTCACCTTGGGCATTTTTAATCTGTAGCTCTGCTCTAAAAGAACGTACGTACCTGGGCCCGCCTACTATCCTTGGAAACGTAAAATGATTGGCTAGAATCTAAAGTGTGTCACAGCTCAGGAAAATAAAGCACCGAAATGTGCGCTGCTTTTCGGTCTGGTTACTACCGTTTATGTCAGAACCAGTGCCATCATGGCACCGGACACCGGTACCCATCCCTAGTCACGTGTGCTCCGCGACATGTCTGTGTGGCTGCGAGCAGAACATGAGCACAGCATGAGGTGCTCTCAAAGCTGTTTTGACAGAATGAGTCACCTGAGCAGGTGTCCGTGAGTCTGCCCCTCCCTGCTCAGGCGGAGGCTGAGTGTCTGCTGCCTCCTGCTGGCAGGTCGTTGCAGGAGTGAGACTGGAGAGTGGCAGGTTAGGTGTGAGGTCAGACAGATGCTTAGATTACAATAGAAGGCCTTTATTGTCCCTATACAGATGGACAATGATATACAGAGAGGAGAGGAGAGGGCAGTCGATGATCTTTTGTGTTGTCTTGACTACACTTTAGTGCAGCTGCCGTACCATACTGTGATGCAGTAGGTTAGCAGGCTCTCAATGGACGCTCGGTAGAAGGTCAGCAGCAGGTTGGAGTTCAGCTTGTACTTCCTGAGGACCCTCAGGAAGTGCAGCCACTGTTGGGCCTTCTTAATGACCGCTGAGATGTTGTCTGTCCAGGAGATGTCAGCAGAGATGAGGACACCAAGGAACCGGAAGGTGTGGACCCTCTCCACACACTCCCTGTTGATGTAAAGGGGGGCCAAGTCAGTGCTGTGTCTCCTGAAGTCAACATTGAGCTCTTTGGTTTTCTTAGTGTTCAGTGTCAGGTTGTTCTCTGAACACCAGGCCTCCAGCTTCAGGACTTCCTCTCTGTACTCTGCCTCGTCTCCCTTCGAGATGAGTCCGACTACCGTGGTGTCATCAGCAAACTTGATGATGAGATTGTTGTTGTGGGTCGGACTGCAGTCGTAGGTGTAGAGAGAATACAGGAGGGGGCTCAGCACACAGCCCTGTGGGGAGCCGGTGCCCAGTGTGCGAGTGGAGGAGAGATGGGGGCGGAGCCTCACAGTCTGGGGCCGGTTTGTTAGAAAGTCCTTTATCCAGACACATGGTGCTGGCGTCCACGGTGCGCTCAGGTCATCTCAAGCCTGCGTGCTGACAGCTGCTGACAGCTGCTGATGGCTGCTGTGCGGCATTGGTCTGTCAGGGTCGCCTTGAGGCGACTGCTGTTGCGATTTGGTGCTATAAAAACAGAGCTGAAGCCTCTTTCATCAGATGACCATGACCTTTAACCTTTAACCTGACTCACAGGTTAACACACCTGAAGGTGGCGGAGCTGTAAACTGCCCAAACTCCTGCCTTAATAGAGCTGCTCACACTGATCAGAATCAGAATCAGAATCGTGTTTATTGGCCAAGTATATGTGCAGACACATACAGGGAATTTGGTTCCGGTAGATGGTGGCTCTCAAGCACAGCAATGTAAAACACACACACACACACACACACACACACCACACACCCACACACCACCACACACACACACACACACACACGTCTATATATACACATTACACATACGTACACAAAGCTGTGTAAACCAACTATAAATAACGAATCTAAACTTACATACATAAAATACAGAAATGAATGAGGTGGAATGAATACTACAGAATGTACATAAGGTGCAGCTGCAGTCTGGCAGTGGGAGCAGTGTGACAGGTCAACTGTTTAGGAGGGAGATGGCGAGGGGAAAGAAACTGTTCCTGTGTCGGGTGGTCCTGGTCTGCAGGCTTCTGTACCGTCTGCCAGAGGGCAGCAGATCAAAAAGTCTGTGTGCAGGGTGTGAGGGGTCTGTGATGATTTTCCCTGCCCGTTTCCTGGTTCTTGGGAGGTACAGATCCTGGATGGAGGGCAGGGGGGCGCTGATGATCCTTTCTGCTGCCCGTACAGTCCGCTGCAGTCTGCTCCTGTCCTGTTTAGTGGCTGCTCCATACCAGACTGTGATGGAGGAGCACAGGACAGACTCAATGACCAGTGTAGAACTGGATCAGCAGCTCCTGTGGGAGACTGTACTTCCCCAGTTGTCTCAGGAAGTACATCCTCTGCTGGGTCTTTGTGAGGATGGAGTTGATGTTGGTCTCCCACTTCAGGTCCTGGGAGATGGTTGTACCCAGGAACTTGAAGGTCTTCACAGTCGACACAGGGCTGTCTGATATGGTGAGGGGGAGGCAGAGTTGAGGGATGTCTCCTGAAGTCCACTGTCATCTCTACAGTGTTAAGAGTGTTCAGCTCCAGATTGTGCTGACTGCACCAGAGTACCAGCCGCTCAACTTCTTGCCGGTTAGGCAAGATCAGTTAATCAGTGTATTGATTATTGTCACCTGGCTGCTGCTGTGAGGTGGACTCACAGGTCTGTGACCCCGACCGTTTGTCTACCTGTAGACAACTGTAGCTGCCTCCACCAGTGTGTGAATGTGAGAGTGAATGAATAGTGGCATTGTAAAGCGCTTTGAGGGTCTTGAAAAGCGCTATATAAATGCAATCCATTATTACCTGAGCGACAGACTGCACATTTTCCACAGGTATGTGGAACAGGTGACGTCAGTGGTTCACATCAGTGGAGGAGGGAAAACAAATAAAGTCCAAATAAAAGTGTTACACGCTGGTATCATTTCAGCGTCCAACAAAAACATGAAACCACTTCAAACGAGTGAACAGGAAGTGCAAAACACTCATTCCTGCAGCTCTGTATCTGTAAAGCTTTTATTCTGAAAGCCTCTTCACCGGTCTGTCTGTGATCAGAGGACTCTTACTATGAAAAGTCTCTGAGGTCAATTCCCTTCCTGAACTCTGCTGCAGAAAGATGGCACTGGGAAGCTGGGGCTGGTCGAGTTTAAGGTGCTGTGGACCAAGATCGAGAACTATCTGATGAGTACAGGCCGGGAGAGCGTGATGAAGGCGAGGGTGGTGGAAAGATTAGTACACCGGTTCCTCTGCGCGCTCACCAAACCTGACACGCACACATTCTCACTAATCAGGTGTTATGACACCTAGCAGCAGGCTGCCGCTCTTTCATGGCGATAACGTCTCATTTGTAGCCACAAAAGTTTAACATTATCTCATGCAGAGCTTAAATAATGCATCAGAGCACCACCTAGTGTTGGGTTTTTGCCACAGCTGCCCCAAATTACCAGTATCAATAGTTAATCCACCAGTGTGCACAAACACTTTAATCTAAATTAAATTTTTAACTAAAATAGATAATTACTGCTGTTACCATGGACTCAAATGTACTTTTTTACTTAAAAAATAATAAAGCATATTATTGTCTGTGAAGGTTCTCAGTCATCCAGGTCATCGTAGTCTAAGGAGCTTGGAAAGAAAAGTGTCTGGACTTCCTTAAGTTGCTTTAAGACATTTCAACTATCAGCAGAGAAGCTTCTTCAGTTCTAGGATCAAATGGTGGAGAGTCCCAGATTCAAACCCAGTGGGATGATAATAATAATATGTTTTATTATTATTGTTTTATTATTATTGTTTTATTATTATATGTTGTTAAGATAAATTATTAGTTAGTTCATTCCTGAACAGAAGCAAATTTTGGTGGTTTGACGTTGTGATTTATTAATTAGTGACGGCTCAGAGACGTCCACACTGTAAAAAATATTCTTAGTTTGTTAACTTGTTTTTGACAGGCGCTTTAAATCTGTCCAGGACTGTATATGATCATGTTGCCTGGCAACCGCATTAAAATCCCAGGTGAAACCAGAGCGCGTCACTGTCAGATCTCTGGAAGGTGGCGCGACCGCTCGCTGGAGCAGCCCTCTCGCTGGAGCAGCCCTCTTTGTTCTACAGTCTTTGTGCAGCTGATCGCACAGCTGGTGTTGGAGCTTGTTGGTCTGGTGACTCAGGCGGGCTCTCCATCAGTCCTCGTTTATAAAGTGCTTTAAGAACAGTGGCGCTCAGTGGGGTAATTAGCCTGTAGCGCTTCGCGGCCCGTTTGACTCGAGCTAAACAAGTAAAAGAATGTTTGTGGCAGCTGCTCGAAGCTTTATTGATCTGCTGTGATATTGATAGCATCGATTAGTTTGGTCCTAGCGCTCCTTCATCCTCCATCCGCTGTGCTGCCTTTACCCTAAGATACACAACCTCTTTGTGCCCAATTACAAAAGAGGCAGAGTTTGCTGCCATCAAACTCCGCCTCTTTCATGTGATCTCGCTCGTAGCTAGAGTAATGAATCCCAGACGTGTGCCTGATCATGTAATTGCACACCTGCTGCTTCAGTGACGCCGGACAGCGAACCCATCCTGGAGCCAGAGGTCATTCCACCGGGCATAGGCGTGGTGATCTGACGCCGCTGTGATGCGTTTCTGTTGTCAGAGTCTAGCGTGACAGGGACGTGGACAATTCAGGGTCCATGAGGTCGGCGGTGGAAGACGCAGGTGAGCTTCGTCAGGCCTGTTTGCTTGCTTGAGTGCTTACCTGTATGTGCTCACATGTGTGACCTCTGACCTCTGTGTGCTGCAGGTTTCTCCCTGAACAATCCGCTCCATCAGGTCCTGTGGCTTGCTACAGCGAACCTGATCTCACCATCGACTTTGACAACTTCGTGGGCTGCTTGGTGCGTCTGGAGGCCATGTTTGGTGAGTCGTCGCAGCCCTGAGTCACAGATGTTTCCATCTTCATCCTCCTCTTCATCCTGTCCATTTCCTCTCTGCAGAAGCTTTCAGCGCTCTGGAGAAAGACGGGTTGGGAACCATCGAGCTCAACCTGATGGAGGTACCATCTTCATTATTAACCACACAGCCATCCTCACTCAGCGCTGAAGCAGGCTCCACCTACTGGTGACTCTAAGCAATTAAGAGTTGACCTTTTCATGACCCTTGAAGGGTTCCTCACCTGTAAGGAGGCGGAGCTCTGAGTGTAATGAAATGACAAAACGGTGAACAAAGTTTTTTATTAATATTCAAACCCAAAACAAAGACACAGCACCTCTGCAGGACACCTTTAAAGCTGCTGAGACTCTTATTTAGAAAGTCTACATGTTTACTTCCTGTTCACAACAGGAATTTCAGGTGAATGTGAAGCTGCTGGTTTCTCGTTTATAACCAATCTATGGGTTGGACGGGTCGTAGCTTTATTCAGGAAATGAAACTTTATTCTGAAAAACAAAGTTTGGTTTTAAGATGAGTTGTCACCCCTGGCAGGCTTTTATTTTGAAAGCCCAGACTTGGTGAGGGATCACCTTTGAAAAGATTTAGGTGTGTTTGGTCACATGATTTAACACCTGTGTTTGTGTCTTTGCAGTGGCTCAACGTGTCGCTGCTCTGAGGTCCTCGAAACGCCAGGTGATGAACCTGCTGGGTGCTGGTTTCTGATTGGTTAATCCTCCCTGTGCTGTGATTAGCTGAGTGTTTCATAATGTAACCTTTCACAATAAAGAGAATATCGAGAGCAGGGCTGTCTGTCCTCTTTGAAATCAAACTTCATGTGTTCAAAAAGTTCGCCTCAGCCTATCATCCAATGAGAAGAGGGTCTCTTTATGACATCATCACTGCATTCTCTGGGAGGCGAACTCCTTGGCCCACCTCAGAGCCTTGGTGATGTCATTGCTGTTTCCTGTTCCCTTGGCAACCACCTCTGAGCCACCGGCGCTCCCGTTGAGGTGGTAACACACAGCCACTGCCCAATCAGAAGCGACGAGGGATGGCGAGACCTGCAGAGGAAGGGGCGGTCAATTAGGCGCTTCCTTTTCCTGATCAGACATTGTCCAAACCGCTCTGAGAATGTTCACCGTGTTTTAGTGATAGAAAGCTACCGTCAATAGAGCACTGTTACCACGGTAACTGACTGAGCATTTAACTGTCTCCTGGAAGCAGAAAAGTTTGATCTCAGAATTAACAAACTCAGAGTTTCATTTACACCTTTGTTTAAATAAGAACGGCTTTTTTGATGTCACATCCTGTTAAGCCTCACATTTAAGACAAACATCACAGTGGGCGGAGCCTGGCTGCTTAATGGTAGTTACCTTGGGAACCTGACAGGCACACAAAACCTTGCCAGAATGCCTCTGGTGAGCGAGCAGCATCACATGACTGAGAGGAGCAGTGGAGCTCAGCTGGTTCACCGTCTTCATCAGAACCTGAAACATTAGAACCACATCAGAGCAGAACCTCAGTGATCCGACAGAACCAGGCTCAGGATGTCCCCGCCCCTCTCTGAGCCTGGCTCTGCCGGAGGTTTCTTCCTGTTAAAAGGGAGTTTTTCCTTCCCACTGTCGCCAAAGTGCTGCTCATAGGGGGTCATATGATTGTTGGGTTTTTCTGTCTGTATTATTGTAGGGTCGACCTTACAGTATAAAGCGCTGTGAGGCGACTGTTGTTGGTGCTGCATAAATATATTGAATTGAAAGTTCTTCGTTCCCACTGTCACCTAGTGGTAGGATGCTTCTTGAGGCACCTTCTGTGATTTTGTGCTGCATGAATCAAACTGAACAGGGATTAAAAGCATGAATTTAAAGTGTGTGAGGCTTCATTAGGAACGGTCTCTACGTACTGACAGAGAGCTGGTCTCCACCAAGTCCACCAGCAGCTCCGTCCTTCCGTGTTTCTCCTGCAGGGCCTGAGCTTGCACTGCCGCCTGAGAAAAGCATGATGGGAAAAGAGTGTCAAAGCAGCCACACACTCAAACTGTCCCCCATCACACAGTCAGGTGGATCACACGTAAATCACCTGGGTTTAATGACATCATCAGCAGAGCACCAATGGGTGGGGGTGTAATCAGCTCTGATTGATTAGCCCTGCGTGCGTCTCAGGGCGTGCTCACCTCTCTGGTCTCCAGTTTCCTGACGGCGGTGTTGCTCGTCCTCTGCAGAGCGCGGAGTCGACTCTGCAGCTCTCTGCGCTGCCACTGTGGGATGGGGGTGTTATCCACAGCCTGGGAGACACAGCACAGGGTCAAAGTGCACACAGGCTCACACGGGACGCTGGGACGTGTGCTGTTCCTGGGTCAGTCCACAGCCTCATACACAAACTGTTTGGGTGTCTATAGATAATATTTCCTCTGCTGATTATAACTCACCTGTTTAAACTCTATAACGTTTGGATTGTTAGGGGCGTGGCTTCTCTGACTGACAGGTCATCGTACTTACATCTGAGAGGACGCCCACCTCCTTGGAAAAGCACTGGGCAGTGTCCAGGCAGGAGGGGGCGGAGCGTCCAAGTCTGGCTGACAGCGAGTCGACGTCCTGAGATAAAACGTGCCCCGCCTCCCGAGCCTGAGAGCACAGAGTGTTAAAAGAGCTACGTCTCATTTTATTCCACCTAATCATTATGTCATGACTTCACTGACCCGTGCCGCTTCCTGTCCCGTCACGGCAACGATCCGACTGATTCCTTTCACCAGCTGCCTCTCAGAGACGATCACCAGGTCCTCGATGGCGCCGGTCTGCAGCAGGTGACTGAACACAGAGACGGCCGGCAGAGCGCCAGGTGACACGTCTACACCTGCTAGTTAAACTTAACCTCTCAAACAATGACAGGTCACATGACATCTGATTATCCTGACTAATGGCAGCTGTAATATAACTGTAAATAAAAGATGGAATGGCTGCTGTGACGTCATCCCCTGGTTTCTTATTTAAAGCATGTTCACCTCCTTTTAACCTGAGGGGCGTGTGTGTCTGTCTGTGTGTCTGTGCCTGTGTGTGTGTGTGTGTGTGTTGTTTGTGTGTGTGTCTGTCTGTGTGTGTGTGTGTCTGTCTGTGTGTGTTGTCTGTGTTCTGTTGTGTGTGTGTGTGTCTGTCTGTGTGTGTGTGTGTGTCTGTCTGTGTGTCTGTGTGTGTGTGCGTGTGTGTGTGTGTCTGTCTGTGCCTGTGTGTGTGTGTCTGTGTGTGTGTCTGTGTGTGTTGTGTGTGTTTGTTGTCTGTGTGTTGTGTGTGTGTGTCTGTGTGTGTCTGTGTGTGTGTGTGTCTGTGTGTCTGTCTGTGTGTGTGTGTGTGTGTCTGTGTGTGTGTGTCTGTGTGTCTGTCTGTCTGTGTGTGTGTCTGTCTGTCTGTGTGTGTGTCTGTCTGTGTCTGTGTGCCAGTGTCTGTCTGTCTGTGTGTGTGTGTCTGTGTGTGTGTGTGTGTCTGTGTGTCTGTCTGTGTGTGTCTGTCTGTGTGTCTGTCTGTCTGTGTGTGTGTGTCTGTGTGTCTGTGTGTGTGTGTGTCTGTCTGTGTGTGTGTGTCTGTGTGTGTGTGTGTGTGTGTGTCTGTGTGTGTGTGTGTGTGTGTGTGTGTGTGTGTCTGTGTGTGTGTGTCTGTGTCTGTGTGTGTTGTGTCTGTCTGTGTGTGTCTGTCTGTGTGTGTCTGTGTCTGTCTGTGTGTGTCTGTGTGTGTGTCTGTGTGTGTGTCTGTCTGTGTTGTTGTGTGTGTGTTGTCTGTCTGTGTGTGTCTGTGTGTGTGTCTGTGTGTGTCTGTCTGTGTGTGTGTGTGTCTGTCTGTGTCTGTCTGTGTGTGTGTGTCTGTCTGTCTGTGTGTGTCTGTGTCTGTGTGTGTGTGTCTGTGTGTGTGTCTGTCTGTCTGTGTGTGTCTGTGTTGTGTTGTGTGTGTGTGTTGTCTGTGTGTGTGTGTTGTCTGTTGTGTGTGTGTGTGTCTGTCTGTGTGTGTGTCTGTCTGTGTCTGTGTGTCTGTCTGTGTGTGTCTGTGTGTGTGTGTGTGTGTGTGTCTGTCTGTGTGTGTCTGTGTCTGTCTGTGTGTGTCTGTGTGTGTGTGTGTGTGTCTGTGTGTGTGTGTGTGCCTGTCTAGCTATCTTCATGAGGACCAACAGTCACACACACCGGTCCTCACAAGTTTGAAGCCTTTTTGAGACTCAAAATGTGGTTTTAGTGTCAGGGTTATGTCAATGAAGGTCCTCAATAAGATAGACACACATACAAGCCCGTTCAGCTGTCTGTGTGTGTGTGTCTGTCTGTGTGTGTCTGTCTGTGTGTGTGTCTGTGTCCAGGTGAGCACAGACTCACGTTCCACAGCAGAGCTCCACAGACGTCTGTCTGTCCGACTGTTTGTCCAGAAGCTCGGTCACCGGCAGCTCCACTGACACGACCCGAACAGGATCAGGATACACCTGCAGAAACAGGTGACGGTGGCAGGTGAGACAGCAGGTGAGACAGCAGGTGACCCAAAATGCGAAGTCTGAGCTCACCTCATCCACTGTCCTCAGGCCGCTGATGCCGCGAGCTCTCTGGAGGGGAAGCTCCTGACTGTGAACGATCTGATTGGCTGAGATGATATCATTAACGCACCTTTCCACTTGCTGCAGCTGTGACACGCTCAGAGAGCCCTGAGGACAACACACAGACGCATCAGAACCTGCGCGGCCTGCACCATGCCGCCATTGTCGGGCTCACGAATGGCGGCCTGACCTTTACGCTGAAATCGAAGCGAAGGCGATCGGCCGACACGTGCGAGCCTCGCTGCTGCACCGAAGCACCCAGAACCTTCCTCAGGGCGAAGTTCAGGATGTGCGTGGCCGTGTGCTTAACCATGCAGGACAGCCTGTGCACCTGGAACCCCAACAGGAAACAGGAAGTCAGCAGAGGAAACAAGAAACACTCTTACAAGGTGAGATCAAATCATGAAAGGCAGCAACAAAGAAACTGAACACGGCTACACGACACAGCGCCGACGGTAAAGAGTGAGATCAGCACAGGTGGAGGTGACAGAGTCGCCACCAGACCCAAGGCAATTCTGGAGGAGGCGGTGCCTCGAGTCAGCGTCGCAGGGAATCAATCTGTTTCACTCGTCCAGGATTTGAGGTTGATGGAGGAATTTGAGAATTCTCACCGCTTTTGTTCATCGTGGTCACAGAATTGTGGTCTGATTAA